CCATGTACTGGTAAGTGAGACCTACCATGTACTGGTAAGTGAGAACCCACCATGTACTGGTAAGTGAGAACCCACCATGTACTGATAAGTTAGAACCACATTATGACAACTGTTAAGTCTTTTTAACCAGCTTTTGCTATGATATTATTCAGAATTAAAGCGGAATAATAGATATACATTTAAACAGTTCACTTGTTTCACTTGTATTGTAAAATCATAGTATTTGAAAAAAAAAAGGCTGTATTATGGTATTTTTTAGGATACATGTCATTTACTGCATTTAAATGAGTACATTTAAATATGTGTGTTGTTTATTGTTATACATGTGTACTTGTGTATTTTTAAGGTGCACAGACATTAATCCATTGGCCGCACTAGCAGCAAAGAGGACTGCTCAACAGAATGGTGTCACAGTTATACCAGTACTCACAGATTTGGTAAGTAAAAGTCTGTGATGAATAAAGTAAAAATCAAACTTGTGCGGTAATTGTGTTTAAAAAAATAAATCAGATTTAAGGTAAATGTTGGTATGCTAATGAAGTTGTTTTTCAGGAAGTCAGACCCTGAGTCAGCAGACTTGCTCTGCCAGTATGAATCTTAAAACAAAACAGAATTATCATGTCATTTTGAATTAACATATTTATGTAAATGAAAAAGAGCCAGTTGCGAAGTGTCAGACTTTTCAGGGTGTTTTATTCTATTTATTTTAAGGTGGAATGTCTAAAGCCTCGACTAAAACACCAGGTGGACGTGTTGTTATTTAATCCTCCCTATGTTGTAACACCACCAGAGGAGGTAAGGAAGGGATTGAAAGGGGAGATAACTAAGGGATAGAAAGGGAAGATAACTAGGAATATCATAGGAAGGGGAGGTAACTAAAAGATTGGAAGGGGAGATATCTAAGGGATATCTTAGGAAGGGGAGATAACTAAGGGATATCATAGAAAGGGGAGATAACTACAGATATCACAGGAAGGGCAGATAACTAAGGATTGGAAGGGGAGATAACTAAGGGATAGGAAGGGGAGACGGAAGATAACTAAGGGATTCGAAGGGGATGTAAGTAAGGGATTAAAAGAGGATGGAAGTAAGGGATTGGCAGGAGATATAACAAAGGGTTTAAAGGGGAGATAACTAAAGGATTATAATTGGATGTAAGTAAAGGATGATTAAACAGTTTCTTAAGAACCTGGAATTCTTGAACGTGGATCTTGAGCAGAAAATATAGGCTATTCAATAGTCTGAACTCACTTTAGGTAAACCATTACCATTTGATCTTAACCTTTTCCAGGTGGGCAGTAGTGGCATCGAAGCATCATGGGCTGGGGGTTATCATGGTCGCGAAGTGATGGACAGACTTTTCCCACAAATTCCTGATATTCTCTCACCTCAGGGAATCTTTTACCTCGTCATTATCAAAGAGAATAAGGCGGGTAAGTTTTGTGAAGCCTTTTTTTATTTACAGTAAAACTTTTACAAAACCTAGCATAATCTTACTGACATCAACTACAGGGAAAAAATACAAAATTTTGGCTGAATATGTTTAAGCCAGGTGTGGTGAAAAAGCTCTGTAAATCTTGTGTCAGCCATGTTTTACTACCGTTAAATATCAAACATGCTTGAGGTTACTTGAATTGCAGATTGATCATTATCAAGTATGGTTCTACTTTCAGATGAGATCGAAGGCATCATGAAAGGTTATGGGTACAAGATGTGGACAGTATTAACACGAAGATCAGGACCTGAACTTCTCTCCATCCTCAAGTTTACCAGATAACACAAACTGATAGACATTCTCCCAACCTTAACTAGTGGGTCTCCCGATGCAGCGAGGAAACATCTTGTCGGCTCCCATGGGGAGATAATCTTGTGCAGTCATGATATGTGTCGCCATTGTCAACAGAATAGTCGGAGCAGGAAGAGATGTGATTTGTGCATATTTACGAATAATTAATGAGGTGTAAGGCTTTTTTCTTTCTTCAAGTTTCAAGCTATACATTATGTCTCAACAGCACGATACTCACATGTTTAAACCTAACCTACAATTTGTCCTGCAAGCTAGGGAAATAAATTCCACAAATTTGCTTGTTTATGAGCTGATGTCCATTTGTAGTTATGAAGTGTTCATAGGTCCTTTCACTCTAATCTGTTTATGTGTAATTGTTATTGTTAGAAATTATTTCTGGTGTTATTTTTGATTTACAGGGTTCATACAGACCTTCATTTCAAACCTTTGAATTTCAAGTAACAAACCTGTATGCACTCTGATTAACAATGCTGGAATAAACGTATGATGATGATAAAGAATAGTCTGTTTATTTGTTATTTATTATGACCTATATAGTTGTGTAACACAGGGTCAGTTACACAACATTTCTAACACAACCCTCTGAAATAATTCCTACTTGTTTTTAACCCACCTGGGTATTATTGGTGGTGATTTGTTGTCTGTTATCAATTAACTTCTGCATTGAACAACATTTCAAAAACTACTGAGGAGAATTTAACCAAAATTTGGTGCAAGCATCCTTACAGCCTTGAGGATCGAAAATTGTAAAAATGAAGTGGATGATGCTGTTTTTGGGCCGAGAGGTCAAATAGGCCCGGTTAAATTAGGACATATCCTCCCACAGTACACGGTTGTTAAGGAAATCATAGTGGTAGCTTGTATGGCCAATGGGGATCTGAAATTACTGTAAAAGGGGAAATTTGTGCCTGTCCAATGTTAGGGTTGTTAATCCTCAGGGAACTGATCATGTTGTTATTTCTCCTGTCCAATGTTTGGGTTGTGAATCCTCAGGGAACTGATCATGTTGTTATTTCTCCTGTCCAATGTTTGGGTTGTGAATCCTCAGGGAACTGATCATGTTGTTATTTCTCCTGTCCAATGTTTGGGTTGTGAATCCTCAGGGAACTGATCATGTTGTTATTTCTCCTGTCCAATGTTTGGGTTGTGAATCCTCAGGGAACTGATCATGTTGTTATTTCTCCTGTCCAATGTTTGGGTTGTGAATCCTCAGGGAACTGATCATGTTGTTATTTCTCCTGTCCAATGTTTGGGTTGTGAATCCTCAGGGAACTGATCATGTTGTTATTTCTCCTGTCCAATGTTTGGGTTGTGAATCCTCAGGGAACTGATCATGTTGTTATTTCTCCTGTCCAATGTTTGGGTTGTGAATCCTCAGGGAACTGATCATGTTGTTATTTCTCCTGTCCAATGTTTGGGTTGTGAATCCTCAGGGAACTGATCATGTTGTTATTTCTCCTGTCCAATGTTTGGGTTGTGAATCCTCAGGGAACTGATCATGTTGTTATTTCTCCTGTCCAATGTTTGGGTTGTGAATCCTCAGGGAACTGATCATGTTGTTATTTCTCCTGTCCAATGTTTGGGTTGTGAATCCTCAGGGAACTGATCATGTTGTTATTTCTCCTGTCCAATGTTTGGGTTGTGAATCCTCAGGGAACTGATCATGTTGTTATTTCTCCTGTCCAATGTTTGGGTTGTGAATCCTCAGGGAACTGATCATGTTGTTATTTCTCCTGTCCAATGTTTGGGTTGTGAATCCTCAGGGAACTGATCATGTTGTTATTTCTCCTGTCCAATGTTTGGGTTGTGAATCCTCAGGGAACTGATCATGTTGTTATTTCTCCTGTCCAATGTTTGGGTTGTGAATCCTCAGGGAACTGATCATGTTGTTATTTCTCCTGTCCAATGTTTGGGTTGTGAATCCTCAGGGAACTGATCATGTTGTTATTTCTCCTGTCCAATGTTTGGGTTGTGAATCCTCAGGGAACTGATCATGTTGTTATTTCTCCTGTCCAATGTTTGGGTTGTGAATCCTCAGGGAACTGATCATGTTGTTATTTCTCCTGTCCAATGTTTGGGTTGTGAATCCTCAGGGAACTGATCATGTTGTTATTTCTCCTGTCCAATGTTTGGGTTGTGAATCCTCAGGGAACTGATCATGTTGTTATTTCTCCTGTCCAATGTTTGGGTTGTGAATCCTCAGGGAACTGATCATGTTGTTATTTCTCCTGTCCAATGTTTGGGTTGTGAATCCTCAGGGAACTGATCATGTTGTTATTTCTCCTGTCCAATGTTTGGGTTGTGAATCCTCAGGGAACTGATCATGTTGTTATTTCTCCTGTCCAATGTTTGGGTTGTGAATCCTCAGGGAACTGATCATGTTGTTATTTCTCCTGTCCAATGTTTGGGTTGTGAATCCTCAGGGAACTGATCATGTTGTTATTTCTCCTGTCCAATGTTTGGGTTGTGAATCCTCAGGGAACTGATCATGTTGTTATTTCTCCTGTCCAATGTTTGGGTTGTGAATCCTCAGGGAACTGATCATGTTGTTATTTCTCCTGTCCAATGTTTGGGTTGTGAATCCTCAGGGAACTGATCATGTTGTTATTTCTCCTGTCCAATGTTTGGGTTGTGAATCCTCAGGGAACTGATCATGTTGTTATTTCTCCTGTCCAATGTTTGGGTTGTGAATCCTCAGGGAACTGATCATGTTGTTATTTCTCCTGTCCAATGTTTGGGTTGTGAATCCTCAGGGAACTGATCATGTTGTTATTTCTCCTGTCCAATGTTTGGGTTGTGAATCCTCAGGGAACTGATCATGTTGTTATTTCTCCTGTCCAATGTTTGGGTTGTGAATCCTCAGGGAACTGATCATGTTGTTATTTCTCCTGTCCAATGTTTGGGTTGTGAATCCTCAGGGAACTGATCATGTTGTTATTTCTCCTGTCCAATGTTTGGGTTGTGAATCCTCAGGGAACTGATCATGTTGTTATTTCTCCTGTCCAATGTTTGGGTTGTGAATCCTCAGGGAACTGATCATGTTGTTATTTCTCCTGTCCAATGTTTGGGTTGTGAATCCTCAGGGAACTGATCATGTTGTTATTTCTCCTGTCCAATGTTTGGGTTGTGAATCCTCAGGGAACTGATCATGTTGTTATTTCTCCTGTCCAATGTTTGGGTTGTGAATCCTCAGGGAACTGATCATGTTGTTATTTCTCCTGTCCAATGTTTGGGTTGTGAATCCTCAGGGAACTGATCATGTTGTTATTTCTCCTGTCCAATGTTAGGGTTGTGAATCCTCAGGGAACTGATCATGTTGTTATTTCTCCTGTCCAATGTTTGGGTTGTGAATCCTCAGGGGACTGATCATGTTGTTATTTCTCGTTGGCAATGGTTCTGAGATCTATAATTCCATATATTTGCATTGATATGTTTATGCTTATTTTCTTAACACAAAAAAGTGACACTCTCTTTATACAGAACTTTGTCACTTTGCCAAAAGATGCTCTAGAACAAATTTGGTTTGAATCTTTCAAATGCTTTTGAAGGAAAAGTTTATTAAAAGATTAACCTATTTCCCCTATTGGACCCTTCTCCTGTACCCCTGGGTCCACATTCTTAGTTTTTAAACAAGAGGCCCAGAGGGCATTAATTAGTATCAAAGGCTGCTCCAGGACAAATTTGTTATAAATCTTCCTATTCATACAGAAAGAGAAACGTTATAAAAAATTACCCCTATTTGACCCTTCCCCTGTGTCCCCAATGTGGGCTACATTCATCCACTGTTTCTAAAACAAGAGGTCCAATGGGCCTGCATCGCTCACCTGGTATACATCTCACACTGATCTTAAATAAAGCTAAAGGCAAAACACCAGTATTTATGATTAAAAGTTATTCAAAAGAACCTGTTAAAAGATTTTAAAACATTTCAGCCCTGTGACCTTGAAAGTCGAAAAAGGTCATTATGTTGAACAAATCTTATAGCCCTTTATCTTAGGATGCAACTTGCAAAACATCACCACCTTATCCTTGTTTATTGAAATTAGGTCATTTAAATGTTTAAACATATTTGAGTAAATGTGATCTCGAAAGTGAGTCAAGGTCATTCAAATTAAAAATTGAGTCAAATATGTTAAAATCTTCTTCTGAATAACCAAGAGGCCCAGGATGATAATATTTGGCCAGTAGCATGCTAGGATGAAGGGCTACTAAGCTTGTTCAAATTCCTTGACCTTCAAAACAACCCGTTGAAAGATTTTAAAACATTTGACCTTGATTTTCGAACAAGGTCATTATGTTGAACAAACTTTAAAGCCTTTCATTTCAACATGCAACTTGCGAAATACCACTATCCTAAACCTTTTGATTAATGACATTAGGTCATTTAATATCTAACCAAATGTGACCTTGAAAGTGGGTCGAGGTCATTCAAATGACTTGATAGTCCTTCATCCAAATATCAAAATTCTAGGCCTCATGGTTATTCAGAAAAAGTTGTTTCAAGATTTTAAACCAATTTGACCCCTGTGACTTTGAAAATAAGTAAAGGTCATTCATTTGAACAAACTTGGTAGACCTTCATCTAAGCATGTAATGGCCATATATCATCATTCTGGGACTTTTGGTTATTCTGAAGAAGCCATTTAAAGATTTCAAACATATTTGACCCACCCATGTAACCTTAAATATAAGTCAGTCATTAATTTTACAAACTTGGTAGCCCGTCATCCAAGCATGCTAATGGAAAAATATCATCATTCTTGGATGCATGGTTTTTTGGAGGATGTCGTTTAAGGTTTTTAAAATATATTTGACCCTTGTGACCTTGAATATAATTCAACATCATTTATTTGAACAAACTCTGTAGCCTTCATCCAAGCATACTACTGGCCTGATATCATCATCCTAGGCCTTTGGTTATTCAGAAAAAGGCGTTTAAAGATTTTAAACATATTTGACCCCTACAGCCTTGAATACAGGTCAACGTCATCCATTTTGACAAACCTGGTGGCCCTTTATCCTAGAAGAAGTTGTTTAAAGGTGTTTTAAGACAATTGTCCCCTGTGACCTTGAAAATGAGTGAAGGTCATTCATTTGAACAAACGTGGTAGCCCTTCATCCTAGCATGCTACTGGCCAAATATCATCACCCTGTGCATTTTGGTTTTACTCAGAAATAGTTGTTTAAAGTTTTTTTTAACATATTTGACCCCTGTGACCTTGAATTAATGTCAAGGTCATTTATTTGAACAAACTTGGTAGCCCTTCATCAAATCATGCTACAGGCCAAATATCATCACCATGGGCATCAATTTGGGTTATAAAGAAGAAGTTGTTTAAAGTAAAATATGTAAAATATTGACGCCGGATGGATGACAGACGGACGACCGACGCCACACCACGGCAGAAGCTCACTTGGCCATTTGTTAATTCCCCCCCCCCATGTCATTTGCCTCCAATCAAATATGGTTGATATCCTTCCCTTCATTTCAGAGAAGTCGCTTAAAGCAATATTGCCAAATTAACACTTTTTGGCCCCCCTCCCTCAGCTCCTTTAATTGGGGTCAGGCTGTTCATTTGTACAATTTTGAATACTCATCTAAAGATGCCTTCATCCAAAGAATGGTTGATATCCTTCCTTAGTTTAAGAAAAGAGGTTGCTTAAAGCAGTATGGCCAAATTACCCCTAATTGGCCCAACCTTTCAGGCCCCTCCATTTGTACAATTTTGAATCCCCACCGCTTCCAGTCAACTTTGGTTAAATTCCAATCGCCAGTTATGAAAAAGAAAACGTTAGAAGAATTTTTTACAGATGGAGGACAGGCGCCACGGTACGAGATCAGCTCACCTTGGTCCTTTTGACCAGGTGAGCTAAAAATTGTGTTCCCTTTTCCCAAAGATTCTCAAGACCAAATTTGTTTTAAATCCCTTCAGAAGAAGAAACATTTTCAAAAGATTTACCTCTATCTAGGACTAGCCGCGTTTTAAAGAAAAAACGTTGTCATTTTTTAAGCATAAGCTTACTTTTCTGACCAGGTGAGCTAAACAAACTAAAACACAGCAAATATATATAATGATGTTTAATTTCACTATTTACAAATTATAATGGTAAATACATTCAATATATTGGGAAATTAGAATGATTGCTAAACCTTCCAAAAGTCTCAAAATAATAGCCATAATAGACTTTTTTTTGTATATATCCCTAGCGATTTCAAAATGTATTGTGCAATTAATCTGAGTTCAAAGTTCATTGCAGTTAACATATTGGTATTCAAATGAGCCACTTTTAAACTTGGAGTGAACACATTTCATACTTCACAACCAGGTGTTTGAATTGAACAATGTTGCTAAACAGGAAATGGACAACGACAACGACGTATTGTAATGTATATATTAGCCTTGCTGAAGTCCCTTTATTCCATTTCTAGGGGTTTAAGCACAACTGTGAATTCACATAATTATCCAAATATGTATAATGTTAAAAGTTTATAGTAGAATAAACTCTGATTATGGTAATGAACCTACAAAATGGAAAAAACAAAAATTATACACACATTACATAGTACACAATAACATATGATGGATACAATGTCTGGCCACTTAGTGTATAGTATACGAAAATACTACAATTATCAACTTGAAGAACGACCGAAATATTACGTCAGCTATATGACGATATGGAGGTCAGACCTGAGGGCTAAAGTACAGAAAACCAGTCTTTTTTGGCCATAAAATGGTCATTTCACAAACAGGAATTACAGAATGTCATGACATCCAGGTGTCAATAAACACAGGTTCAATGTAGAAATGTTATAACCTGTATTATTTATTGAAGATGACTTTTGAAGATTGCTAAAATAGTGAGTTTACACTCTCAATACCTGGTAAATAGTGACAAGTGTGATGGCTGTGGTAGGGACTTGGTAATTACGGTGTATATATGTATAATAAACAACATATCTGAGTAAAATCAATATAAGAATACCAGTATTAACCTTCAGTAAACACAAACTGACCTTTTGAGCAGCATCTGAAGCCAAACCTATGTCCATACCACTGGCACAACAAACAGTTGGAATCTATCCTGAACTTTTATCTGTTGATAAGGGTATCTTAAACCTTGTAAACTTACAGTGTAGAATAAATCATAAATCACTTTCTGATAATATCTGTAAAGGTAGTACATGTATCGCCATTATAATATCTGTAGAAATATATAACAACCTTCAAACCAACATATGGTTTTACCAATGCTATCCTGAGAAATTCATGATGTTTGAAAAATTGAAAACAGAACTGTTTTTAAAGCCGATCAAAATCATAATCCTGAAGTGCATCAAATTCATCTATAAAAAATTAAAATGGCACAATAGAAAAAAAAATCCATCATCAACACAATTGTGTCCCTTTGTAAGCTCTCCAACTTTTCATCAATGTACTGTTCATCACATGCATTGTAACTGGTGACTTTGCTTTTCAATCCAACCTTGCAAACCTTTTTTTGTGTAAATTTCTTCAACGAGTCACTATGAGATAATACATTGAATCAATTATTGACTTACACCCTTGAAGAAGGCCAGGAGGCCACACTATTGGGAGTGAGAGTGATATTTGTTCTCATCTTCTTTCCCTTTTGAAATCATCTGTTTATTAAATTTCTTCTGCATAAAGTTTATTATGGGTAAAGCATGAATTACATTAAGTAAGCTTTGTAGCATCCTAAAGTAGCTAGATTTTTCTGTATAGTTGCTAATCCTATCGAGCACCGGGTTCATTCTGTGGGACAGCTCCCAGACTCTAGGCATTGATGTATTTAGCAACATACTCTTTCCTAACGTCCAAGTTTTCCTGTGGGCGGTTGAGTGGAGTCCATACAGGATCGCCGACGAAAAGGCGCACAGCCACAACGTGATCCTGTAAAGGTCAAAGGTCAAAATAAATACATGCACCAAATGTAGAATTACAAGATCAACATTCAAAGAAAAATATACATAAAATATCTACCTTTAATATAGCATGGTAGTATTATGTTGTCTTTATAGCGTCCTGGATTCACATTTAGATATGTGACAGGAGAACGAGAAATGCAACGGTCAGACCAGGACTCGAACCCGGGACCCTCAGAACTCTATAGTCGGACGCTCTACAAATTGAGCTTTCTATACTATTTCACCTGGAGTAACTAGATTTGGTGTACAAGGACATCTTGGGATGGCGAAGTGCAGAGTGCAAGAAGAAGGACACTATTACCACAATGTGACCTATGCTTTGACCTTTGACCTTAACTTTTGAAAAAGTTTGTCCTGGGCATATCTTCTATACTATTTCACTCTTTGGATGGCGAAGTGCAAGAAGTATGTATCAGGATACTTTCCTAACAGTAGATACATCCTGATATAAGTGTACGGTTAAATATAGAAATCATTACTGGTGGGGGACTAGGGATTGCCTTGCAATACTTTACCTTGTTGAATCAAGCTTTAAAGCAATCAAGCTAAATATTATTATGCCTTATTGATATTTGTTGGAAGGTTTGAACTTTTTTTTAATTTAGGAGACTTTTCAAAGTTGGCCAAGATCATTTAAATGAATCTTGTGTTCTACCGGCAAGCAACATACCAAATACATCTATTACTAATTAATGCCTTAGAATTCTCAAAAAAATAACAAAAAAAACACAAAATTGATGACTTGTAAACTCAGCTAACTAAATACAAAATATCATGAGTTTAGGCCTTTTCCCAGTTTGTTATTCATAAGAATTAGTTTTAATAGCTTTAAATGTCTCATGTGACTTAAAAAATGGGTCAAAGTAATAAATTCAGTTTCGAAACCTGGTGTTTTATTCCAACAAGCTTGTAGGAAAATTATTGGTATTCTAAGGCTTATGGATCTTTAAGCCCTCTAAGGAATTTTAAAACATTTGACCCCTGTACCCTTGAAAGAAGGTCAAGCAAATTAAATTTCAACAAAGTACATTGTTGTTCCCTGCAGCACACTACAACCCAAATATTATGACACTAGCCATCTTAAGTTGTTTAAAGGATTCAGAAACATTTCACAACTTTGACCTAAAAAGGAAATATGTTTCAAGGTTTTAAAGATATTTGATGAATGGATAATGGACGACACCACTGAGCATAAAAAAGCTGGTTTATATTTTGGTATTAGACTGGACAAGGCTTTACTTGTTAATCAAGGACTATAAGTCTTTATGTACATTTCTATTAAGTCAGTGTAGTACTTTAGGGCAAATAGCACCGGCATAATCCTCAATGCCCACTATCACTCCAACCCCCACCGTCACTCCCACCCTCAACCCCCACCATCACTCCCACCTTCAACCCCCACCATCACTCCCACCCTCAACCCCCACCCCCACCATCACTCCAACCCTCTACCCCCACCATCACTCCCCCCCTCAACCCCCACCCTCACTCCCCCCCCCCACCCCCCCCCCCCCCCTCCCTCCCCCCCCCAACGCCCCCCATCACTCCAACCCCCACCGTCACTCCCGCCCTCAACCCCCCCCCTCACTCCCACCCTCAACCCCCACCATCACTCCCACCCTCAACCCCCACCCTCAACATCACTCCCACCCTCAACCCCAACCATCTCCCCACCATCACTCCAACCCTCAACCCCCACCATCACTCCCACCCTCAACCCCCACCATCACTCCCACCCTCAACCATCACCATCACTCCCACCCTCAACCCCCACCATCACCATCACTCCAACCCTCAACCCCCATCATCACTCACACGCTCAACCCCCACCATCACCATCACTCCAATGCTCAACCCCCACCATCACCATCACTCCCAACCTCAACCTCCACCATCACTCCCACCCTCAACCCCCATCATCACTCACACCCTCAACCTCCACCATCACTCCCACCCTCAACCCCCATCATCACCCTCACCCCCCACATTCACCATACCACAACTCCCAACCATCACCCCAAACTCAACCCCCACCACCACCCCACCATCACTACATCATAAAGGATGGACTTGCAAACACTTCACCAATTTATGTAAATATTCTGGTTCGTAAGTGCTAATTTTATGAAACAATATTAACAGTGCGCCAAAATTGGTTGCCAAGTATTATCACTTTGAATATTCCTGAAATAAATTTTAATCAAAGTAACTGGTTTAATTCTCTGTCACTGACATTTCGGTCCAAGGTGAAGCGATGGTAGATTCCAGCTGGCATAACAATGAGGTCTCCGCCCTCCAAGAATATACGTATCCACTTGTCTTGCTTGTCTCGAACATCGAAATATCCGCTCCCTTCAAGGATAAAGCGGACTTCCTCGTCATCGTGGAGGTGTTCCTCATAAAATGCCTTGATCTAGGAGGTATATAAAACTGTCTATTAGACAAAGAACTGAGAGTAAGTCATACCTATTGCGGACAACCCTACCTGTAATCTATACACCAGTGTTAACTGTTAAGTCATACCGAGTACAACCCTACCTGTAATCTATACACCGGTCATAACTGTTATAATACACCTACTGAGGAAAATCCTACCTGTAATCTATACACCAGTGATAACTGTTAAGTCATACCTACTGAGGACAACCCTACCTGTAATATATACACCAGTGTTAACTGTTAAGTGATACCTACTGAGGACAACCCTACCTGTAATATATACACCAGTGTTAACTGTTAAGTGATACCTACTGAGGACAACCCTACCTGTAATCTATACACCAATGTTAACTGTTATATCACACCTACTGAGGACAACCCTACCTGTAATCTATACACCAGTCATAACTGTTATAATACACCTACTGAGGAAAGTCCTACCTGTAATCTATACACCAGTGTTAACTGTTAAGTCATACCTACTGAGGACAACCCTACCTGTAATCTATCCGCCAGTTTTAACTGTTATATCACACCTACTGAGGACAACCCTACCTGTAATCTATACACCAGTGTTAACTGTTATAATACACCTACTGAGGAAAATCCTACCTGTAATCTATACACCAGTGTTAACTGTTATATCACA